GAAACGCGTATATGGTTAGCTTTTCTTGATTTATCAAATACAGAAAACCTACCTGTTAAGGACACCTAATTGCAGAGCCAAAGTGTACTTTAGGGAGAGGTGTCCTCTTACTAGAGAGTTGCTAAATACAATAGAACTACCTCTCTGTAAAAGACAACACCTAGTTACAGAGCCAAGGTGTCCTTTAGGGAGAGGTGTCCTCTTACCTGAGAGTTGCTAAATACAGTAGAACTACCTCTCTGTAAAGGAAAACACCTAGTTACAGAGCCAAAGAGTCCTTTAGGGAGAGGTGTCCTCTTACCTGAGAGTTGCTAAATACAGTAAAACTACCTCTCTGTAAAGGACAACACCTAGTTACAGAGCCAAAGTGTCCTTTAGGGAGAGGTGTCCTCTTACCTGAGAGTTGCTAAATACAGTTAAACTACCTCTCTGTAAAGGACAACACCTAGTTACAGAACAAAAGTGTCCTTTAGGAAGAGATGTCCTCTTACTGGAGAGTTACTAAATACAGTAGAACTACCTCTCTGTAAAGGAAAACACCTAGTTACAGAGCCAAAGTGTCCTTTAGGGAGAAGTGTCCTCTTACTGGGGAGTTTTTAAATACAGTAGAACTACCTCTCTATAAAGGACAACACCTAGTTACAGAGTCAAAGTATCCTTTAGGGAGAGGTGTCCTCTTACTGGGGAGTTGTTAAATACAGTAGAACTACCTCTCTGTAAAGGACAACACCTAGTTACAGAGCCAAAGTGTCCTATAGGGAGAGGTGTCCTCTTACCTGAGAGTTGCTAAATACAGTAGAACTACCTCTCTGTAAAGGACAACACGTAGTTACAGAGCCAAAGTCTCCTTTAGGGAGAGGTGTCCTCTTACTGGAGAGTTGCTAAATACAGTAGAACTACCTCTATGTAAAGGACAACACCCAGTTACAGAGCCAAAGTGTCCTTTAGGGAGAGATGTCCTCTTACTGGAGAGTTTCTAAATACAGTAGAACTACCTCTATGTAAAGGACAACACCTAGTTACAGAACAAAAGTGTCCTATAGGAAGAGATGTCCTCTTACCTGAGAGTTGCTAAATACAGTAGAACTACCTCTCTGTAAAGGACAACACCTAGTTACAGAGCCAAAGTGTCCTTTAGGGAGAAGTGTCCTCTTACTGGGGAGTTTTTAAATACAGTAGAACTACCTCTCTATAAAGGACAACACCTAGTTACAGAGCCAAAGTATCCTTTAGGAAGAGGTGTCCTCTTACTGGAGAGTTGCTAAATACAGTAGAACTACCTCTCTGTAAAGGACAACACCTAGTTACAGAGTCATAGTGTACTTTAGCGAGAGATCTCCTCTTACTGGAGAGTTGCTAAATTGTAAAAATGGTAATTTTGAAAATGAAAACTGTTCTTTGTGGAGAGGTGTCCTCTATCGGGGTGTCCACTAAAGGTAGGTTCTACTGTAATATAATTGAAAAAAATGTTATTGATTCCAATATTTAAGATTTAGGAAGATAGCTAAGTAGTATGTCTCCAAGCTGGTGGTTAGAGAATTGTTTAAACTCCATGATTTTTTAAAAATTATCCCTTGTACATGTGGTACAGGCCATTATAATCATGGTGGGTAGTTAGCGACTGCTTTTACTGTAAGTACACCACATGTCTACACATGGTATAGGCCATTATAATCATGGTGGGTAGCTAGCGACTGCTTTTACTGTAAGTACATCACATGTCTACACATGGTACAGGCCATGATAATCTTGGTGGGTAGTTAGCGGCTGCTTTACTGTAAGTACACCAGTGGGGAAAGAAGTATTCACACCCTCACCATTCACCCTTGAGGATAGGGGAGTGGAGAGGCGACTCTACGTGTTTGCCTTACGTCGGAGTGCCACTGGCTGATGGCTGGTGAAGCTGTAAGCTGGCCATCAGCCCTTGGTTAGCTGGCGCGAGGCGCACGAGTCTTGAAACTCTTGGGTCTTCGCTCTGTGTGTGCGCTATTGGGAGCGTCCTTGCCGTGCGCGCAATTGCTCCAGGGGTGTCCCTGGCTGCTGAAAAACCAAGGGGTGCACACAGTAGTACCACCCTCCCGCCTTCGCGTCGGTTCCCCGCATAAACCTCAGAACCTCAGAGGTCCTTGATTCGTCGGCAGATTCAGGGAGTACTGTGACCAAAGGGTTCGAGGGCCAAAGGGGGGAGTTCTATTGGAGCGTAGGACAACCTTGCCATGAACTCTCGGAGACGCCTGTGGGTTTGATTGGCCGACCTCATGGAGCCAGACCTTAATGGCGGGCGCGAGGGGCCAAACAATGGCCGCTCGGTGCATGGAGAATGAATCATTCCCTTTTGGCTGGGTGACCTGGATGTCAGCAATGGGTGTGCATTCGCGCGCCGGTTAATGGACCGAAAGGTCTGGGAAACCATTATTGCTCCTAGTCTGTAAGTACACCACTTGTCTACACCTTGTACAGGCCATGATAATCATGGTGGGTAGAAGTTGGCGACTGATTTTTACTGTAAGTACACCACATGTCTACATATGGTACAGTCCATGATAATCATCGTGGGTAGTTAGCGACTACTTTTACTGTAAGTACACCACATGTCTACACAAGGTACAGGCCATGATAATAATGGTGGGTAGTTAGCGACTGCTTCTACTGTAAGTACATCACATATGTCTATTACATTGCACTTACAAATATGCCAGAGCCCGTTTGATTACTTGCACTCGCTGGTGTGGTTGAACTTCTGCAAGAATCGGGGGCCATTGCGGCATTTTTGTTTTTAAATCAGAAAAAAAAGTGTCCAATGCGGGATTCGATCCCGGGTCGTAGCGGTCAAAAACCAACAGTTTAAACAATCCTTCCACCGAACCCCTGAATCCCCATAGTAAAGGTCAACCCCAGGTCATACTCGATGTTGTTCTGTATTATGATATTCATTTATCCCAACAGCTCCTTCCGGTTTCCTTGTATTAAGCCTAATATAATTCAAGCTGAGGTCAAGATGATAGTATAAACCTTACTAGCGATGATAAAGAATGAGCTGCTACACACCAGTTTTGACAAATACAGACAATAAGCCAACAAGCTGTATACCATGGTTTCAAGCTATGGCCCTTATCAGTACAGGGACGGCTTTGATTTCATACCATCCTACGAGACGGGCTCTGAAATCGGTCGAGTTTATCAAACATTTCACAACCCCTCTAGTAGCATGCTATGAAATCGAAAAATCTTCTCCCGGGCCTGGAGATGCCCATATCGGTCGGCCTGAAGGGGGTTTGTGCGCCGAGATGACATATGGCAGTCTGGGGAAGAAGTCAGTCTGGTGACATCGAGATCTGTGACAAGGAGAAGACGTGGGAATTGTCTCCGGGCGTGTGGAAGATCCTACAAGACGGTGCCAGGAGAGACTGACAATGGAGCGGTCTACAAGACGGTGTAGTCCAGGCTGTACAGTGTGGAGCGGAACACAAGAGTGACATCCACGGCGCCAAGGATTCTTCTAACGGGGAGGTTGAAGACAAGTTCCACTGTTGTATTCCTTCTGTTAAGTGAGATACAATAAAACGCCAACTTTAGCTGCAATCCCTTCGAACTCACGGGTGTATCTTTGTGGTATCCTGAGTAGACAAAGTACAGCGTCTGGGTACGACGGAACAATATATTCTATTCAACTACATGAATGTATATTATGATACATTAGCGCGCCATCTGTTATCAGAATTCGAAACTATTATAGACGTGTATAATTCTTTTTAAATATAAACAATTCCTACTGCCCTTACTGCAATAGAAAAATTAATGGGAGGGCCTGGCTCATCATTGGTGAACCCTCCCAGTGGTTTCGCCAGTTTAATCTACCATACCGCTGTTATATTTCATTTTTCGATCTTCCTTTTATAGTAATACTGTTGCTAGACTCTTGGAATGGGTATTTTAGATGAACTATGGACATAAGATTTGAGGATAGCAGAATTACATACAATTATAAATATATAATATGTTTCGAGCAATCGTTGTGTGGTGAACCCTCCCACTAATGAGTCATGCCCTCCCATTAATTTTTCCATTACAGTAAAGACAGTAGAAATTGTTTAAAAGAATCATACGCGTCTATAATAGGTTCGAACATGAATGTATATATTAGAAATGTAAAACACATTCGCACTAAACGGTAAAAAACAAAACAGTTAGAGTAAGATAATGATAGAAATGGTGGTTATACTTGTAAATCATTTAGGATAATGTATTCTTGAGTGTGAATAGAAAAAAAAGCTAACAGAAATTAAGAATTCCATCAGTTTATGAAAGGGCACGGAGCATCTTGTACGTAGCTGTCGATGAACTTGAGGTAGTTGATTTGAACGTTTGGAGCCATGGTCCGCAGACGATACAAGCTACAGGTCGACAACGGCCGTGTACACACAGCTAGATAACACGTTAGGTTATGTTAGGTCAGGTCAGGTCAGGTTAGGTTAGGTTTGGTTAGGTAAGGTCAGGTTAGGTTAGGTCAGGTTAGGTTAGGTTAGGTCAGGTTAGGTTAGGTTAGGTCATGTTAGGTTATTAAAATAAAACATTAAGCATCCAGGGAAAAGTTTCTTTTTAAAATATTTTTTTAAATTTAAAAATATCTCAAGCTTTCGGACAAGTAAGCCCTTCTACGGGAGAAAAATATCCTACATCGTTAAAACGCCAATAAAATAAGATTTAAAATTAAAATAAAGTGCTTTTGTTGTTTACATTTGTTTCAATGCAGAATCAACACGGGGTTCTGTTGCGCGTGTTTTCAGGTTTGATATTCCAAGGCGATATCTTCACATGGAGGTTATGGGGTGGGTTCAGGGATTATTATGAAACGACATTTGAAAATTATCCCGCATGTGTTTCTTTTGAATGAAAAATCGAAATTTATTTTAAGGAGAAATAACGATTATTTCTATCCTTAGGGATGAAGTATGAAAGGATGAATTGTGAAGAGTAATGATAAACGGAAAAATAAAAGTTTCCAGGGATGGGAATCGAACCCACATTGTTCCGCTTACTGGGCAGATGCCATGTCCACTAGGCTACCCTGGACATATTTTTCGTTCGTAAATAATATACAGAGTAATTTTTAATACAATATGATGCGGCTTATGATTGTAGAACGCGAATTTTCGTTCAATAGAAACACATGCGGGATAATTTTCAAATAGCGTTCTAAGTTAGGTTAGGTTAGGTCAGGTTAGGTAAGGTTAGGTTAGGTTAGGTTAAGATAGGTTAGGTCAGGTCAGGTAGGTTAGGTTAGGTTAGGTTAGTACTTGAAACTTACCCCGTTGGCGATGATATTACAGTCAAAGCCGTCAGGACGTATGATTATGCCACATTTCCCACACCGGAAGGTACATGTCTTGGAACAAGACTGGAACATAAAGCTTGCTTTATCTCTCAATCTTCAGACAGTAAGATACAGGTTTCATTAGAACAAGACAGGAACAAAGTTCACTCAAATCTTTCATCCTCAGACAAGAAGGGGGTCGGTGGAAGGATGGTCAAAGCCGTTGGTTTTCCACCGCAACGACACGGGTTCAATTCCCGCATTGGGCACTTTTTTTCTGATTTGAAAAAAAATGCTCCAATGGCCCCCGATTCTTGCAAAAGTCCAACACCACCAACGAGTGCAAGTAACCAAACGTGGCTCTGGCACATTTGTAAGTGAAAAGTCGAACTACTTTTTCACATGTGTAGACATGTGGTGGACTTACAGTAAAAGCAGTCCCTAACTACCCACCATGATTATCATGGCCTGTACCACGTGTACTAGGGATGAGAAAAAAAAATCCTCAGACAAACAGATGGATGTTTCAATATAAAAAGAGTGTAACAAAGTTCTCTCATACAATATACCCTAAGACAACTAAAGGTGAAGCCCTAGAAAAACGAGTTAAAGTCAACTGATAGAAATCTGTCACCAAATCTGCTTCTAGAGAGAACAAAGCTATGTCCAAACTGTTCTCAATCTCAAGTCTTCTCTGATATCTTACTCTGACGAGATATATGTTGAAATGTTATATGCTACCCTAATCACTGTTTGAGGTCGTGTTTACTTGGGTAAACTTATCCTTTAAATATATATGCGAATAATATTATAATTGAATTGAATAAATTTTAAATATATTTACATAGTTTATTTATTCAGATATTGGTAGGCAAGCTTTCACGTGGTAACGTTTCATCAGGCCACTGGCTCCGAAAGACGTAAAACATAAATACAATAGAAATTCACAGAAATACATTTTCAAAAAATCAAATATAAAAATAGTTTCCAGTTGTAGAGGGTACAGTTTCAATGAGATTGGGATTATCAACAGCAAAGCCTTTATTTAGGGCCTCTCGCCCTATACAGGATTCGCCAGTTCACAAGGGATGGGGAGAACACTGTGTTCCGGGATCCTGTGGAATACCGCCACCGCTATATACCTATTCTTTGATATTTTATTAATTAGTGCCGGAAATGAAGGACAAAGTTGCCCCGTTTTATCATTTAGTCTTTCCTCAGACAGAGCAGCACAATCAAATAAAGGTTAGGATTATCTGTGTTGAAAATACTGGAACTGTTGGGGTAGATCTTCTGTTTATGTTGTCTTTGGAGATGGTAGATTCTAGTTTATTGTCTTTGTATAGATTGTAGATTCTAGTCTATTGTATTTGTATATATTAATATATATGTGATATCTTGGGACCTCTGGGACCAGTGTTACCTGATGCTCGACGAACCTCGATGTCAACTCTACCGTGCAGTCGTGGTGGAAGGCGACACAGCTGGGCCAAAGGTGAAATAAGCAAACAGAGATTCCACTAAGAAGCGTCTGACGTCAAGAAGGAATGGGATGAGGAGAATTCTGGCAGGAAAGGGTTACCTTTTTTTCGGAGCGTCCGGCGCACTGGGACTGGAACGACGACTAACTAAGGACTGACTAACTGAGGATCGGGACCTCCTTTTTATAGCTGAGCGGGTCCGAACAGGTCACTGCTCTTTTCTGACGTAAACAGGGGGGGGGGGGAGTTTTATTATCCAGGAGGGCCACGACCTCGTAAAAGTTGAACGGGGTTTGCTAGACCTTCTTTTCTAATTTCACCTAAGCCTGATTAGTTTTAACCTAAATTTTATCCGGTTAGTCTCCATTTCTTCTATCTGTACAGTTGCTATACTTTATTAGATTCTTACGCGGTACAGATTGATGTTAGTTGAACTTTCTATTTGCAGTAAATAAGAAGTTATATACAGTCACGTGGTGGAACATGTGGTAGTAGATATCTGGACTATTTACAACAATTCCATGGTCTTAAATCATCACAGATGGCCCCGGATGTGAAAGGGTTCATATGGAGCGATTTAAGAGAGCGGAATAGGAAGACTGTTATTAAGGAAGTAATTTAAAAAAAAATAATTAAAATGAGTTGGTATATAACATGGGGTTGATTTCTGTATATCCATAAGAGATAATAAAGTATAAACAACTAATACTGAACATACAATTAAAAATAAAAATAGGAATAAAAGCTTTAATAGAGAACATATAATGATTATAGGTAAAAATGTAAATAATTGGATGGGTAAATCATGATCTTGTTGTGATGGGCGTTAGAAAGGGTTGAGGGGTTAGTTATTACTTGGTTGAGGCAATGTCACTTTGACTCAAGTCCCAAACCATTTAATGTGCACGGCGCGGAAAACCTAGGCCATGTTTCACATGTAAATTTAAGGACCTAATAAAGTTACAGTACCACAATCGAATAGTAAGATAAGGGTGATTGTTATGGGTTTGATGAATTAGTCGTTAAGACGTACGCATGCAGGATAAATGAGGCCGAAGATCAGTGACCAGAAATCAAAGTTTTAAAAAGAGTAAAATAAAAAAAAAAAGATGTGCCAGCGTGTGGCATGAGAGTGCCCTGGAATATATATAAAAAAAATACAATTTGCACGTATCCAAGCCAGAAGTTGGGATAGGTAAATCTGGGGGACGGTGTGTCAATATTGTTAATTACGAAATCAAAGTAGGTCAAGTCTAGCCTGCGAAGGGGTGTTAAAAGTCCCTGCGTAAAAGGAATGTTAGTATTTATTAAGAAGTAACCTTTAAAGTGGTTGTTTAAGAGGTTATTGAAGATTTCCCTGTTTTTAGATCATGATTTTTAGTTTGATTATAAAAGAATATATCATTGAGATATGAAATTGCGAAATTAAGGCTTTGCATATAGCGTTAAAGGATTTGAAAAATCGAAAATAGAATTGCGAAGTTAAATGCAAAGTAATCTTTAAAAAAAAAGTAAAAATAGTGATGACATGATACAAAGATTAACACACTACAGCAGTATATAAGGGGTAATAGAAAGTTGAAATATTAAATCAAAATATAAAATGACGAATGAAAATTAGTGATATAAATATGAAATATAAACTTGAGATTATTAGATATGAAAGATAAAATATAAAGTTGATTATAAAATAGAGTCATAAAGCAAAAGTAAATAAGCTTTGGTAAAGAAAAATAAAATAAAATGACACTAATCTAAACTGATTGGTTGACGTAAATTAAATATAAGAGCTGGATAATGATTATATAAAGTTATTAAAATGACAATTAAAAAAAATGGTCATCGAGAAAGAAGAGCAAGTAATTATATGTATGTACCTCTACAGACCTATAAGCTTATGTCCATAGTTCACTAAACACCATTTAGCTGCCTTCCATAGAAAATGCAGGGTATATAACAAAACCAGTCCAATACAATAGTAGAGCGGTCTAGAGATTAATTTGGCGAAACCGCTGAGAGAGTTCACTACTGATGAGCCAAGCCCTCTCATTCATTAAATCATATCATTGCAGTAAGGTCTGTAGAGATTTAAAAAAGAAACGCATTGCCAGTAAATTTATTTGTGTAAAATTTTAACGATAGAGGGCAATAAAATTTAATTTACTAATATATAATGGTTATGAAAACATGTTTTGCGCGGAAGAGCTTTGCTCGATGCAATACCTTGAAATTTATATGTATGTACCTCTACAGACCTATAAGCTTATGTCCATAGTTCACTAAACACCATTTAGCTGCCTTCCATAGAAAATGCAGGGTATATAACAAAACCAGTCCAATACAATAGTAGAGCGGTCTAGAGATTAATTTGGCGAAACCGCTGAGAGGGTTCACTACTGATGAGCCAAGCCATCTCATTCATTAAATCATATCATTGCAGTAAGGTCTGTAGAGATTTAAAAAAGAAACGCATTGCCAGTAAATTTATTTGTGTAAAATTTTATAGAAATTATATATCGGGAAAGAATGGAAAGTAGTAGGCCCAATGTATGTTCCTGTTTTTTAGGATGGGTAGAGAGAGATTTAAATTGTCCTCGATCGCGATATCTTTGGTCTTGTTGGCATGAGTTGATCTAACTTATCGAATTTGTTTTATGTTGACGCGACTCGTGGATCACATTGTTTCCAACTGTGAAACTTACCGAGTCCTAATGTTGTCGTTTTTTTTCTTCTTTTTTTTTAAACTTATGTGGGTGTGTGTGATTTTTGTAGGTAAAATGTTGTCTTTGGCACGCACTAATATTTAATTTAATAGGTGGCGAACATTCATTAGAGTGACACCGGGCAATAGCGGTGAGTCGTAACAAGAACATGCCGGCTGTTTGTTTGCTCGTGTACAGCGGAAGAGGGGGGAGCGAAGCTATTTTTAATGCGATTCCGGATTTAGGTCAGGGGCCCTTTGCGAGGCTGCTTGCTTTCTTCCAACTTATTGGATTTGTTAATTCGAACTACGTTCTGAGATATTATTTCTATAATTGTAAACGCAAAAGCGTTTTGATTTGTCACGTTTGGTGACAAGCGTTATGGGACTGACATAGGGAGATATAGAGGTTGTAATTATCCTGTGTTCAAGCATTTGTTCGATTTGTGTTTGTATTTCGAAAATCCGGATATTGTAACCATTGGTATTAAATCGAATGGTTGTTGTGGTGGGGGAATTTGTTGCGGACTTAGTGAAAATGTTATTCAGTGATATCAGGTTAGAAGTGAGTGAAAGT